GCCTATGTACAAAAGACGAGACAAACAAGTAGACGACCCAACCAAGTCGTCGGCTTCTGCTGGTACCGGACCGAAGGGCGGATGGTACGGTACAGCACCGTCCCCCCCTTTTTTTTTTACACAAAGCTTTAACATAACTAAAATATAGGTCCAAAGCTTAATTGAGTCACATTCTCCATAAATAAAAGATTTTTTTTAAACTTCCTTCAATTTTCTTACCAAGCCAGTCTTACCATGCAATATCTTTGAGACATATGAAAGTTAAGATAAACTACCAGAGCTTCCTTATTAAACGATGGAAGTTCCAGTAATAAGTCTCAAAACATTTGTTGAATAGGAATGGCTCTAAAACCAATGTATTATTTATTGAAATGTCAATTTAATATTCTTTTCTAGATCTAAGTAACAAGTTTTCCTGCATCACTAGCAAATTCTATGTTCTTTTAAACTTAGAATTTTAAGTATTGCTTATTTTTCCCCCATTTCAACTATTTTGGTTGAATTAGTAAATATTCGTCAAACATTGCATTCTTCTATTTATATTAGTTACTCAACCTTTTTCATATTCTGTTATTTCTAAAAGTCATGCATACAAACACTGAAAACAATGTTTTAGTTTTACAACCTTCATTTCTAACAACTTAATGCAAATATTGTTTGTATTGATGTAAATAAAAAAAAAATTAGATCATGTTATTTTGTACTTATTATTTAGTTAGTAATTTTATATACAGTTTTTCTGTGGTCAAGTAAACTCAGTTATCAAAAAAGAAAAAAGGCAAGACCATGGGAGTTCTTTCTGTAAGACAAATTTACTAGTGTTCAACAGTATCTCCCTCCAAAAAAATAAGAATAAAAACCAACGAGTTTTCATTGCTCTGCTAAATAAAAGTTGTTTAAGTAGTTCTTAATGAACTAGTGGTTCCCCAAACATTTGTATTTCCTGGTCTGCTTCAGTGGTGCCATTATTGGGCAAAGAGCAAACAGCACTTACAATTTACTTGTAAAAGTAAAGTCATCTAAATAATTAGTTTTGTAGTAAAATGGTTCTTGTGGAAATTATATTTAGCATATATATATGTAGATACTTTTAATAGGCAAGTAAAATTAAGCTACCAAAAAACGAGAGCCCGTGCAAGTTAACCCACAATAGTATACGTTATTGTTAAACATTTTGAAGGTTAGATAATTATATATATATATATATATATATATATATATATATATTTAACTTTTAACGTTAAAATAAGAAGTAACCGAAGTAATACTTACTAAAGATTAAGTGTT